AATTTTCAGCTTCTAAAATTATAAATGGACATATTTTATACTCATTTTAGGATGGCTGATTGCCAGATCGGCAATCAATGAATAATAACTAGTGGTGCAGAACAGTGAACCTGTCATGTGCTGCTCTTTTCTCCTCTCTGTGTCTAAAAGGTATTTATCAGGAAATTCATCAGTGTTTTCTCACCTGCACACCAGCACTTTTTCCAGAGGTCACTTTACCACAGTATCATGTCCAATCTCTCTGATACAAGCTAAATAATCCAAAATAAGGATAATAGCAGATTTTAATTTTAAAATTATTTTCTTGGCTACATACGCACATTTTAATTTTATAAAGAAACACATAAGTACATTTGAATCATAAGAAATTTGATGCATGTAAATAAAATATTCTGGATTTTATAAAATATATGAGTGAACTAGATGTTAAAAATCAAATTCTGATAACACTTTTTATTTGACTCATGCCATAATATAGCGCTTCTGTTTTCAATTTTCTAATCATTTCTTCAATAATTTGTAAAAATATTTAATGAGTTTTGGTAGTGGTAGTCATCCAAGATGACATGTTGGGGAAAAAAAGGAAACTTTTCAACATTGAAAAATATGCATATGAGCACATTTATATTCAGACAAATGTGATAATTTTTTTTCTTTTCCCTTGTTTTGGGAGCTTGTTTTTGGGGCCACACCTAGTGCTGTTCAGGATTCACTCCTGCCTCTGTGGTCAGGGATCACTCCTGGTGGACTCAGGTGACCATTTTGGGTGCTGAGATTTGAACCCAGGCAGCTATGTGTAAGGCAGAACCCTACCCACCATACTATCTCTCCTGCCTTCATAACAATTTCTTAAAAAGAAAAAATATTTTAAAAAATTACTAAGTCATCAAAAATTATTATGCAAAATCAAAAAAAATGAGTTGGTTTTACACAACGTAAAAGGGTTCATTTAAGCCATATTATCATAAGACATTAAACATTCTTTTCACTTATAAGTAACAAAAAGATAGTTTCCTTATTAACACACACACACACAGAAAGGGAGCCATGTTTAATTTGTAATCCTTTACTAATTTTCTTCTAATCTAGAGAGTTTCTTTTCTTTCCCAGTCTACTTTCCAAGAAGCCTGTCTCTTTTCCATGCTGACTCTGAGTATCCTCTTTATTTTTTGTTTCTGAAAGTATCAAAGAACTTGGGAACCATGGCCCAACACAGAGACCTGTATCTGGGCTCCTACATTAATGATGGAACCAAATCAATTCTGACAAATTGTAGTTACATATTTTATGTAGAATTCTATCATTTGTTCATTGGCAATAACTGCGGTACTTCTGAATAGTGAGTCCTTTCCATAATTTAATTTGTTTTTGTTTTTAATATTCTGGGCTGGAGCCATAGCACAGCAGGTAGGGCATTTGCCTTGCACGTGGCCAACCCAGGTTCGATTCCTCTGTTTCTCTCAGAGAGTCTGGCAAGCTATCCAGAGTATTCTGCCTGCACGGCAAAGCCTGGCAAGCTATCTGTGATGTATTTGATAAGCCAAAAACAGTAACAACAAGTCTCACAATGGGAGATGTTACTGGGGCCCACTCGAGCAAATCAATGAACAACTGGAGGACAGTGCTACAGGATAGTACTACAGTGCTTTAATATTCTAGCTTTAAAACCAAATATTGTGGTCCAAACCCACCCACCTTCTAACATGTAATAACAACAGAATATTTGGCAAATGAACTTTTTGTTGTTGTTGTTGTTGTTGCTTTTTGGGCCACACATGGTGATGCTCAGGGGGTACTCCTGACTCTGCACTCAGGAACGACTTCTGGCGGTAGTCAGAGGGACCATATGGAATGCTGTGGGAATTGATCCTGGGTCGGTGCGTGCAAGGCAAATGCCCTAGCCGCTGTGCTATTGCTCCAACCTCCGCAAATGAACTTTAACTTCTCTGACTTCAATTTTTATCCTCTGCAAAATGAGTAGAAAGTTGATGTCCTAGAGCAGTTATAAGAACTAAATGAGATCCTCTGCTCAGTCAATACCAGTTTCCTTAAACTAACTTTGTTTACTCTTGCTTTTAATGTGTTGCTGCAGCCTAAAAGATGGGAATGACACGTTGGAAATAAAATAAATGGAATATTTTGAGCACTGTGTTGTAATTATGCAAGTAAATGAGAAAAATGCAGGGAGGATATTGATGTGTTGCCTTTTTTCTTCAGCAGAACTGCATTTAACATAAAGGGGAGTAATTTTATTGAATAATAAAAGTCTGACAATCACTGTGATTGGCTGACAGCCATTACTGCAGTGTAATTCTAAACAGCTTGTTTTTCAAAGTTCTTGAGGAACTCTTTAAAACTGGCCATTGTCCAGGCTGACTGAGGGGTTCAAAACTCATTTTTAAAGAGAAGTTTCTCACATATGAGTACTGCAGTCACATAAGTGATAGAACAATCTGAATTGAAAGAATGTTTTCTTAAATGATTAGATTAAGATGTGAGGGAGGGACACTGGAAGGAAAATTTTGCACACTAAGGTTGAAGTGGCAGACAAATTAACTCACTACTCAGAAAATAAAAAGATATTTGAAGGCATTGGGCTTTTTCTAAGAAAAAAGAAGAAAAAAGAGAAAACTTTGAAAACATGCTGTTCAATAAAATAAAAAAGCCCAACACCTTCAAATATCTTTTTCTTTTATACTGAAAAACACAATATCTGATGATCTGCAATTTCCAGAGTAAAATACTAATTTCTAAACAAAACTCAACTAGGCTTTCAGAGTTACCAAATCCAGTTTGATGCATTCCACTTCCCTAGCCAGTGACAGGTTTTTCTAATCAGTAACAATCACGCCAAAGTATATCGAGTAAGTGGGTGTAGAGTTGGCAACTGACCAAAATAAATATTTAATGATATTTTAATGGTTATTTAAATATCTCCTATTTAAATTGTAGTTAATGCCTTTTTGGTCAATGACTGCTGGACAAAATGTTTGAGTTGCATATTTGCTGATGATGAACCTCTCTGTAATGGATTCATCTTCAGAAATGTCCAGGTTAGATCATCTTGCATGGAGTAATTTTATCTTAAATATCAATCTTGGAAATGTTGAGATAAAGACCAGGGGCAGCGCTCTGTGAACTGCGAAACTGTGTTAACTGCTCATTCTCCAACCCAGAGATGACGATTCATCCTCGTGCAACACCAGGTCCAAAGCAGCAGAGGGAAATGGTCCTGATGCGAATATTGCCCGCACAAATGAAGAAAAATAGATGCGATCCAGCTCGCGGAAAGCTGCTTCTTAAACAGACAGCCGAGAGAAGAATCCCCACGCATCCGGCGATTGGCTGCTGGGAATCTTTGTTCGGGAGGAAGGATGCTAACGCAGATGCCAGGGTGGAGAAACGCCGCTCCCATCCTCACCTTCAGAATCCACCGCGGCTCACAACCACCTGGGCTTCCGCGGGCTGCGCCCCCGCCTCCCTCCCGGCGCACCTCTTCCAGCTCCCTAGCGCCCAAAGCTCACTCCCTCCCCGGGAGCACCCACACAATGGACTCGCTTGATTCCCGGGCATCTCTCCTTTGACTTCCAGCCCCAGCCCACAACTTGAGTTGAGAGTGGGAGCTGGCCCTGTGACAGCAGCCACCGCCAGCCGCGGCTCCTTACAGCCCAGCTGCAAAAGCACGCGCGCACACCCAGACAAAACAAACAATGCGGGGGGCCCCCGGTGCGTGCCTTGGCGACACCCGCACCCCCACCCTCGCCCCCACCCCCGACACCCGCAAGCCCCAGCGACCCAAGCAGCGGTTTCCAGAGGTTCCAGACTGTGTTTGATCTCGCCCACTGCAAACACGCCCTCGGTGCCGAGGGCCGACTGTGCGTTCCCGGGGGCCGCGGCCGGGCCAGTGGCGACGCCCCCAGAATCGCACCCAGCCGGGTTCCTCCCACCCCCCCCCCAAAAAAAAACCCATTTGGGGTGGCTGGGGGAACCGGAGTGGCACGCAGGACTGGGGATGGGGGGAGAGGATGAAAGAACCCAGGGATAGGGGCAAGGCAGCTTTGGAGGGACGAGCAGTGGGAGAGTGCAGAAATAGGGAATTGGGGGGCTGCAGAGATAGCACAGCGGGTAGGGCGTTTGCCTTGCACGCGGCCGACCCGGGTTCGATTCCCAGCATCCCATAGGTTCCCCTGAGCACCGGCAGGAGTAACTTCTGAGTGCAGAGCTAGGAGTACTAACCCCTGTGCATCAACGGGTGTGACCCAAAAAGCAAAAAAACAAATGGGTGTTGGGGGGGGTGCGTGAGTAGTTGAAGTTGGGCAGAGAGAAACGGGGTGTCCTCCCGGGCTGCCAGTCAAAGCTCCACGCCTGCAGCGGCACGAGTGGCAGCACAACACAACAACTTTGGGGTGAGCCGCAAGTTGCCGGCCTTCCCTCCGGCAATTCCAGCCTCGCACCCCGAGCTCGCTGCACCCCCCCCCAAGACGCGCTCTTTGCGCTGCAGCCAGGGGGGGCGGGGGATAAAGGAGGGGGGTTGGGGGTGCCCAGCCCTGGCGGCGGCGGCAGCAGCTGCGCCTCGGCTCCCCCTCGCCCTGCCCGTGTTGCGTGTGCGTGTGCGTGTGCCCAGCCCGGCGTGAGGGGCACCTGCTCGGCCCGGCTCCCAGCGGCCGCCGCCTCGCCAGAGTGGGGTCCCCGGGGCGCCCCCCGGGCCGCTTGCAAGTCCGCCCGGCTCCGAGTCACGTGTGCCTGCCCGAGGCCGAGACGGCGAGGAAAAAAAAAAACGCGCTTCATTCCTTCTTCCACCGCCATACTGTATTTTATACTCAATCTCATTTTTATTCCAACATTTTACTCCCGCTCGGTGAGTACCTTCTTCTCAGTGGCATTCTTGTCCTCTTCTTGTTTTTTTTTTTTCTTCTTTTTTTTTGTCCTTTTTTTTGGTTTTTTTGTTTTTCTGGTTGTTTTTTTTTCTTTTTCTTCTTCTTCTTCTTTTTTTTTTTTCTTCCACTTCTTTGATTATTGTTTCTATCTGGGAAAGCTGGAGGAGCATGGTTTTGAGCCTTTTCCTGAATGCAAGTTTTTCTAGCATGCGAGGGTTCCGTAGACGAGGCGCTGTGGCGGGGAGTCGCGGCGATCCTGTCCGCTGGGAGCGACTCCCAAGTCCAGCAAAATATGCAACTGGTTTTATGGAGAAAAAAAAAAAGCGATGTGAAGTATGGTGCCTATTTTTTCCCCCTCTGTAAACATTAAAAGCATGTTTCTAACTCTTTTTTTTTGTTTTTGCATACTCTTTTTTTCTGATAAGATTTTTGTCTAGGTGGGATTTTACGGCAGTGTTTACAAGTTTGTGGTTTTGCAATCCTGATACAAACCACTGAGTAAAGATCTTAATTTTCTATTTTTTGGTGTCCTTTTTGGAAGCCGGTGAGAACAAATTCGATTTTTTTTTCCTTTCTGTTTTTGATACCCATTGATAACATGAAACTTTTCTTGCAGCTGGTTACTGGGTTTATTTTTAAGCAAAAAAATACTTTTTTCCCCTCCTTTAAATTAACTATGACTTTTGCACATTTGACTTTTTTAAGAAAAGAAAAACCGAGATAATTTTATGATAGATATCCTGATATCTATATCTATATTATCCCTTCTTCCTCCCCTTCTCCTCCCCGTAAATCAATTTTCAAATGATGGCAGTGGAAGGTTTTTCTGGAGAAAAAAAAAAATGAAGTGCGGTTTGGTTTCCTTGTCAACGGAGGATGAAGTGAACAGCTGAGCAGCTCGCAGAGAGCAGGTACTTGGTCCCCTTGGAGGCGTTTCCCGGGTTTGCCATGGCAATACTTGGCCTGCCAAAGAAATGTGTGTGTGTGTGTGTGTGTGTGTGTGTGTGTGTGTGTGTGCTTGTGCCCGTGTGTATGTGTGTGCGTGCGTGTGTGTGTGCGCGCGCGGCTCCTGGCAGTGTCCGAGCCCCGCGGTGGGCAGCCGCGCCGAGAGCCAGGACCAGCCAAAGTCGTTTCTGTGCGTCGGGAACGGTTTTGAATGTGCGCACGGGGCCGACCCTCGCTCAGCTGCGCCCAGGCCGTGCGGGCCGCGGGCGGCGTGTGCGCGGCGGGCAGCGTCCTCCGGGGACCCGGCAGCCCGCCGGCCCTGTAAGTTCTCCTAGGGCCACTTGCAGAGCAGGGAAGGGCGAGGGTGGAGAATGCGGCGCGGGTTCGTGTGCCCGAGAGAAGGGTGGAGGAGAGGCGGGGGCCCGCAGCAGCATCTTCCTGGAGGGGACTGGCTTGCTGCTGGCCATGTGGTCCAGGAACTGGAAACGTTTGCACGGCCGTTGGGGATGGCACCGGGCCCCCCGCAGGCTCAACTCCTGCTCCCCCCGGTTTGCAATGAGTCAACAAGCCCGCAGGTCTTTGGCCAGCCCGGGGTGCTGGTGGCGGTGCTGATGGGTTTGGCGTTCTTGGCGGTGCTGCGTTTGGAGCTTGGGCATCCCTGTGGCGGTGCCTCCTTGGTGCTAAGTGCTGGCTGGCTGCTTCCAGGAGAGGGGGAAGTAGTTACTTTCCACGCTGGTCGGTGGGGTTTGCGGTGCAGGAAGAGGAGAGGCTAGTTGGTATTAATGAGAGGACACCTCGAAGGTACCGAACAGGCTTTTTGGTTTTTAAAGGGACTGGGAGTTCCCTCTTGCCAACTCCCTGGCGGTGCTTCCAAAGATCTCCGGAGAGGAGATCAGGGCACAGGACAGGGCAGGGGGTAGTGATGAATCCATTTCGGTTGTGTTGTTAGCACTACAGTGCTGGTATGTTGTCAGTAGTAAGTGTATTCCGTGGAGTTTCTGATGGTTTGTGGTTGCCGGGGCCTCTTTCCAATCTAATCGATCACTACTTTTTGGAGATGGTAATAGTTGATAATACAAGTCTTTTCTGTACTTAACACAGTGAGAGCATCGCCTGGAAAACTTGGGTACTCCCCAAATTGTGTGCTAGATTTTAAACCTTAATGTCTTTGGGTCAAATAGTCCTCCAGTTACTTAAATTTGGAATTGGTCTTTTTAAATGAAAACTGCTTTAAAATTATTGTGTGTGTATCAGTGTGGTTCTTCTAAAAATGAGGAAAGTAAATATTTTTTTCCCTTTCAGTTTCTGTTTTCTTCTGTTATCTTTAGACAAAAAAGTGAATTCAACACACAAAAGGGTTCATGAGAAACAGATTAATAACACCTTCCATTGCTTTTTCAAGCATATTTCTCTAAATCTTAACCTCAATTTGTAAAATGAAAACTTCTATGTCTATGTTTCTGTACCAAGCCTTCTTGGTGGAAGAATAACTAGAAGTACAAGTGATCATTTTCATAGAGATTAAAATTTTTTGTAATATCTTGAAAGTCACATGCATGTTTATTCACAATTCTCTTATAAGGGACTTTGGAAATTGCAGTGTCAGTTAATTTTGTACTCGGGGTTGCTGTTCTCTGTTCTGAAAGCCCTGTTGCATTTTTTCAAAGTATAGTTTATGTTGGAACTACTGACTTGATATATTGAAGGACATAAGAGTTGCAGGATCTGGCACAAATAGTGTGTTACTAGGTCTTAAATTTTGATACCTGTTTTTTTTTCTGTGTTCATGATTTAAACTCGCTAGCAAAAACATTAAAAAGTCACTTGCCACAATCTACCTTTTAATCATTTAAAGGTATATAAGGAGGAATCATTTATTTAAACATGCAAAATAATGCTTGTGTATATTCATTTGCAGGTTGTATGTACTGTAAATCATTTAGTTCTTTCAAAAGAGAATGAGTCAGAAAGAAACTTGAGAAACCGAACTAGCATTTTCCTTGATGAGGACCAGTTGCTGCATAAGATGGAGATAGTTTGTGTCTTGAGGCTGGGCCAAAATAGAAACTGTATGAAATGGTGTTTCCAAAAGGTTGAATCCATCCTGATGGAAACCTTCATGGAAATGTAATGTGGGAACAGATACCTAGTTGTGCTTTGAATTCTGCATACATACCATAACAAACTGGTTATTTTAGTTTGTTTTAACAGTAAGCAATATATACTTTCTTTCTATGTGTGTCTCTGTCTACTCCTTTCAGCTTGTTCAGCTTTCTCCCTTCATGAATGATACTGAGAAATCTACAACTCTTTAAGTTCTATGAGTATTTTTTGGTTTCAGGTCTTAGAATGTGTAGTATCTTAGAGCTAGCACCGCCTACTGGTTTGACATGGAAAAATAATACTGTTTTTAAATTCAGCTAGCAACCCAATCTAAGTTTAGGAGCAAAGCAATTATGTAAATTATTTTCAACAGCTTTTTCCAGAAGAAAAAAAGTTCTTTTTTTCTCAGGGAGCAAGGGTTTGGGAGGGGAAGATAGAGAGAGAGGAGGAAAAGACTTGAATTAAATGGGCTAATAGACCCAAGGTATATTAGGTCTATTGACTAAAGTATTTTGTTATCTGAATGATGGCAAAGAAATTGTCACAAACTCAAAATAGTATTTTCAATTTTCCTTGAACTTTTAGGTGGGATGCAGAAAGTAGGCATTTAGAAAAATTGTGGAATATTGAATCAGTTTTACATTTTCTGTCCCAGTCTTTTGGACCAGTTTCCAGAAAGAAATTCCTAGTTGCAGATATAAAGTACTGATCTGACCAACATTTTTAAATAAACACATTTTGCCCTTATAGGATTATAAGCTATCAAAGAGTATACTGATTTCTTTGTTAATATGTGTCAAGCAACACCCTGTCATAGAGTTATACTAAGGGATGAATATTTAAAAGATTATTTATGAGGACACTTTTTAGAGGCCGGAGCGATAGGACGGCAGGTAGGACGTTTACCTTCCTTGCACGCGGCTGACCCGGGTTCAATCCCCAGCATCCCATATGGTCCCCCAAGCACCGCCCAGAGTAATTCCTGAGTGCAGAGCCAGGAGTGACCCCTGAGTATTAAAAAAAACACTTTTTAAAAAATATTCCTAACTACGAAAGATATATTTGCCTTTTTACAGCAAGTAGTTGGTGTTTTATCTCAAATTTTTATGAAAGCAAATGGTTAAAAGAGATATTTATTTGAACAAACTATGTCTTTAGAATATAAAATGCAACAAAAAACCCTCACATATATATATATCTTACACCAAAATTTATATTTTCCATGTTAAGGTATCATGCCTACAATGTCATAAGTAAATGTTCACTTTATTTTAGGGAGTTAAGTATGTGGAAAATTGTCTGTGGTGTTACATCTTCAGAGTATCCCACTTGACTAAGAATGTAGTTATGTTTTGTTTACTTTTTTCTGATACAGTAATCAACTAATTATTTAGTGCCTCAAATCAAATACATCTCTACATCGGAAATCGAATAGGTAAATAGATGTGGGCATAAAAATTGCTTGCATGATAAAAGAGCACACGAAGAAATTATTTAAATTGCAGATTAATTCATTTATTCTTTGACTTTGGAAAACTTATTTTAGTATTGTGGCTACTCTTTTAAGACTGGAAATATTGTTTCATTTCTATCTCACTGCCATTAAGAAATTTATATTTTGGGGTTGGAGAAATATAATACAGGGGTTCAGATGCTTACCTTGCAGGTGGCTGGCCCAAGTTCAACCCCCAGCACCCCATCTAGTCCCCAAGCCTTGTGAGGAGCGATCCCTGAGAGAAGACACAGAAGTAAAACCTGAGCATCAATGTTTGTGTAACTCCCCCAAAAAATGAAAATCAACTTTTACTTTATGTAAAAGAATAAAGTGATGACAAATTTTAATTTTTATCTCTTTATGGAGCTCAGGAGAGTAAATAAAAATGAATTAAGAATTTTTCAATAATCTGAAATTGCTAATAATTTGCTGTAACTTCATAATTTTTGCTTGATACTTCTAGAGATTTGCACAGATGCCTTTAAAGTTCCATTTTCATGTAGTGTAATTTTTTTTGTTATTCAATGAATTTCCTTTTTTCAGTAAATGACAGTAGTAACATCAGCTTTCATATGAGTGACAGTGACAGTTGTGTTATACCATGTTTTTGGGAAATTCTTTCAAAATTTAAGAAATTAATGATTACTAAGTATTCCACAAGCTAGCTACTTACCTAACAAGTATTACATAAATATAATATTTGTCATTCTTTTTTTACTATCACATTTTGACCTGAAAATACATATATCTTACCAAACTATTGCCAAATTTAATACCTGCTTATTCCTATAACTTATAATATTTAATAAATGTGCTTCATTATTTTTACTCTATGAAGCAGGTGTTTAAATAGCAAACTTGATTGATAAAAGTTAGTTTTCTGTTTTGGTAATTCTCCATAAATGTCCACTTTATGTTTTATTTGCATTTTCTTTCAATTTTGGGGGGTCTGAGTTCAGGTAAAAAGTTGAGGTGTTTACTTATTTTTTTCTTGACATTTCTGGCCACGGAGAGGGCAGTAGCAGAACTTCACTTTATGTTGAATATAAATATCTTCTGGATGTGCTTGTAGCTCAGGCCAAGGTTGCAAGATTTATTTCTTTGACCGTGTATAAATCTAAATAGAGGGAAGAATTATAGTGGAGAGTGTGGGATCTCTGTCATACTGTTTTTGAAAGATGAAGAGAATTGTCTTACTAATCACCTTCATACTAATTAAGAAAACATAATGGTGGTGTAAATATAAATATTTATTTTTTTAAGAGGCAGAGAATTGTCTTACTAATCACCTTCATACTAACTAATAAAACTTAAAGGGGGGTTAAGTATAAATATTTCATGAAATTGCCTTTATATCATCAATTAATA